TCTAACAGATTTCAGATGCCGATCTCTGTAATGGACACTTTTATGATTTGCCAGACAAAATGCTTCCCACACATTTGGCAAACTCCTGAACATCACACTGACTGCTTTGTTTGGTCTCTGAGAAGGTGTCAGCAACGCTTTCGGATAATAACAGAGTATCCAGACGCTTTCTTCTCTGTGTCTTTCCTCTCGCACTCATATCCTCCACCTTTGCTGACAGGAGTCTTAATAATCACTCCGGGATCAACAGCAGATATTCTTCCCTGTGGATCTGCCATCCTGGATCTTTCCCATGCATCAGATCAGCATTAGTCACCAGGGTGGATCAACATTGCATCACACTCGCAAATAAAAAGAAAGACACACATCTGTGATATGACAGCAGCTGAGCGGTTCAGTTTGAGAAATAGAGTTCAAAACAAAGCCAAACACTTCACACGTCTAAATAAAGACTAAAACAAGAGATTTTGGTATCACTTTGGTCATTAGTTTATCACTTTAGTTAACATGAACTAAGAATGAGCAATACTTCCTCAGTATTTATTTATTGTCTTAGTTATTAATTTCAACTAATACATTATTAAAATCAAAAATTGTATTTGTTAACATTACTGTGACATGAACAAGCAATGAACAGCTGGATTTGTATTAAATGATATTAACAGAGATGTTTTGCTCATGTGCATTAATGTTAACTAATGAACCTTATTGTAAAGTGTTACCAAGATTTTTCAATGTTATAAAGTAAATATGAGTTGCTTGCTGCAGAAGTCTGGCCTGTAATCATCGTCTTATTTGTGAACCTCAGTGACAGTGATGATAATGACTGAAGCAACCAGATTTTCATCACAATCTCCCATCTTTCAGAGCTGAGTAACAAGTCTGAAGCACAGATTACAGCTTGTGTGTGTGTGTGTGTGTGTGTGTGTGTGTCGTCTGCTTCCCTGTCTGTCAGTCTGGGCTGAACCCAATCGCCTGCATGATGATGTGGGTAAAGCAGTTTGCATGTGATCTTTGATAGTGCTGGCATCATATTTCCAGGTGAATATGAATCATCAAGATGTTGACAGTATTAAGCATTATTCATTGTGATGGAATCATCCATGCAGAGGCACATTATCTGTCTGGAGGACACATACTATAAATTAATCTTTATTAGTGGATAATAATTATTACTTTTTTTTTTTGAATCGTAGATGGATTATCATATGACATAGGCAATTTCAGAGCACAATCATTTGAGGTTTGTCTCGTGTTAGCTAACTAATTAATAGTTTCCCTTTTTATATGCTATAGCCTACTTCGTTTCTTTCCATTTACATCATGTTTGATATAAATTGATTATTGCTTTATGTTTTTCTCAATGTATGATTTATTTCAGATGCATACATTGGATCAATGATCTGGTTTTCTGCCAATGTCCTTTTGACCTTAAAGTATTATTCACTGATATGTTTGTTTCTGGAGAACTGACGCATGGGCAAACGGGTCTCTAAAAGTGGCAAATCCTTGCCATTGCTAAATCATCGTGATTAAACCTGTCATTCCTTTATCAACTAATATTATTGTCTTACTATTGTAAGCTGATTCCCTTTGCATCACCGTCAACTAGGCATTTTGTAGCCTAACTTTTACCTCTCCAGGCATAAAAAAGCGATTTCCCGCGAAATCCGTCCCGACAGCTCTAAAAAGGAGGAACGTCATGGTTTGGAAAATGGCATTTTTGCACTCTATCATAATAGCATTTTGTTTTTAAATTTTTGTTTGTTATTTTAAATAAAAATGTTTTCCGGCATCACTGAAATGAACGGGGGCTAGGAGCAAAAATGCCACCAAAATGAATAAAAATGCCCCAAAAATTCAAGATATAGGCCTATGGGTCAAAAGTGTCCTTGTATGAGCTCATGTTTTTAATATATATAACAGGACATAGCGACGTGTTCCCGAATATCAGCACGATTGCTAATGTGATAGCCTATTGCGCTGATTTCATACAAGTTCAACAAACAAGTAGTCAAAATGTTAGATGACGTTAATTTTTAGTACATTGTCTAGTTTGCATTATATTTTGCCAACGAAAATAGTTCCAAACACAGTGATGTTTCGTTTCGCGTTTTTAACGAATCGTTAAATCGGCTAGCGAGAGAGAGAGAGAGAGAGAGAGAGAGAGAGAGAGAGAGAGAGAGAGAGAGAGAGAGAGAGAGAGATGTCTATGTCACCTATCCCAATCCCAGACTCTCAAGTATGAGTAACATACAGTAATAGTAATGCCTTGAACTCAAGAACAGTGCGATTTTAACTCGACAAGACGGTGTTTCAGAGTGAGTGACGCTGCATAATCTCAGGACGGGTGTGGCGGGTGTTATCAGTCTTCCTGTCATCGATGATGTGCTGAGTGAGTCTGAGTCAGGGACAGGGAGGGTTACACGCCCACATGCCACAGTCATGTCAAAGCGAAGGCCCCTACGGGCCCCTGGATGTGGGAGAGAGGAGGCGATGAGGTTTGGCAGTGGGTGCAGACCGCTGCCACAGGCCTTCCTTCACAACGAGGATCCATGTTTCACTGCAATCTCAAGTTTACAGATCTGTCCTGACTTCCAGACAAAAGAAGAATTCAACAAAGATATTCAAGACATTACACACCTTATTGGGGGGAAAGATCAAGGAGATGTGCTTGAGAAAGAAATCTTGTCATGAGAACCAATATATTTTATGGTGCCTTATAAATTCCAAAGATGCTTCATAATGCGTAGCAATAACATAGAAAACACAAACATAACAAGCTTCTAAAAAAAAAAAGAAGCTTTTGTAAGGTCTGCCATCTTGTGTTCATTGCTACAAACAACATTTCAAGACTTTTGGGTGAAGACTTCATAATTAATATACTAGGTTTTGTTTAAAGTTTCAAGAAATTAGGGGTCTATATATATATATATATATATATGATTGCAATGATTTGTGCTTCTCAGCTTGCTAAGAGCAAGTTAGTTAATATTTGAAAAATTTTATATGCTTATATGAAAAACATGATGTAGGTGTTCTGCATCAGTTAATAAGTTGACCAAAAAGAATCAAACTAGTCAAGGAAAGTGAAATTGTTTTATTGAAGTCATGCACATCACACTTGTTAGTGCAAATACCCCTTATCTGTATTACTCTATGTTTTTACAAAATAGAATTCTGACAATGAACTATCTTTGATGTTCAAAACAAAGAAAGAAATTAGAAATTAAAAAACAATATTTACGAACAAAACTATATACAGGCAGTGTGCTGTACTGACTTGGTTGGTAGTTGGTGACCAGTTTAAATATATCTTTTCTCAAAGGCCCTGAAAAACACCAGGTTTAGCTTTGATTCGAAACTGACGACTCATCATCATCATATCTTTGAATTGACAGAAGAACAATACAAACTTTAAGCTTACAAAAACCAGCGTTTAGCCTAGGTTCAGTTACGACCTAATAAACAAGTTCCACATCTCAAATTTGCATTTGCAAGAAAACCCTCTTGTTCAGCACATTTCAAGAAGTATCAAACATGCATTCTGAATGTGAAACCAAAAATATTAAAACTGCATGTTCGAGCCCCCCCAAAAAAATCGCATGTTAAAAATGCATCTATAAAAGTACATTAAAATGAACTGGAACGGAGAACTCGTATCTCGATGTAAAACAAGGAAAAGGCCAATGCATCATATCCTGAAAACTGGCTCCAGCAGCAAATTAGATATGACCAATATCATTTATATCCAATTTTTTATTTTGTGACTATAACATATATTTACACACAAACATTCATACATACATATTTACAAACGGCCTATGAGCATTCGTCTATCTAACGTGAAGGACAATGTTCCAAACGGATACTAAAAATAAAGTCCATCATGCTGCTTTAAGAATGCATTATGAACCAATGCAAGAGATCTGTTTTTTAAAGCTATCCCTTCTGTGCTACAAGCTTTGCTTTTTTTTTGCATTCATGGTCAAATCCATGTTGAAGCGTTCAGTGGGTTTTTGTTGGAGTATGTCTTTCCAGTAAAACAACAAAGGATGCAAAAACAAAAGTCCTTGACACGCTGAACCAGATGAGTTAGGCTTTTTGCTCCAAGACTGTTTATTTACAGCACAGCAGACAAATGTGAACCACACACCAAACACATCATTGGTTAATTCATCTTCCTCCAGTCTCAAAGCGGCTTGCACATCCAAAATTAAACAACTCATTCTGTTCACCCCCAAAATAATTCACTCTCACCCATTTCTGTGCTTCATAGGAGTGGACTTGTGACGCTTCCACCCATTTATCATTCCCCCCCTCCATTCATTTTAAAGCCTTTGCATCCAATTTCATTCTGTAAGAAGAGACCTATTTTACAGGTAAGGCAGCAAAATCCCAGAGCCTTTTTCAGGAGGTACTGTAGGAGTTCAGTACAGAAAAGACGGGCAGGAGCCGTGAACTCAACTCTAAGTCCGAACAGCAGGACAGTGTGTTGGTAAAAAGCTACAACATTTGTTTTTTAACATTTTTTTGTTGTTTTTTTTAGGTCAATGCTCCATTCCAGTTGACATTGACCACAATCCTACATGTCAAGAATGTCAAGAACATCTAAATACTTGTAGTGTGTCTCTGACATGAACATTTGCTTATTATACATGATACAAGAGAAAACAGCCATAGAGAACAATGACATCACTGTGCTAGAAGCATGTCGGATTGAACACAATAACAGCACAGATGACTTGAAATTTAGACTTTTTTGTCCATTCAGGATCGAATCGATACGCTGCACGAGTGGAACAAGAGTGGCACTTCAATGTGAACTAGACCTAGTAGTATTTAAAATAGGCACTTCGCCCCTCTGTGCCCTAGAGTTCAGATTCTCATTTGGCTGTACATCTATTTTGGTTTACCACATCTAACATGGAAAACCACAAGAAACAAAAAGTGGCTGACAGAAAACGTGGTACCCATCCAAGAAAACCAACAAAAAAAGTACGTTAGACCTAGTTTAGGCCATTTTAATAATCAAAAATGCAGATAGATTATTTATTCTATAATATGCATTAGAACTTTATTCCCTCTTTCTTTCTATACTATATACATTTGCATTTTACACAGACATTGGGGCTGTAATTGTCAAAACGAGAGGTATTACGTTCAGATTTATGCCATGTGCCCGGACTAAAACTGACATTGGGATTGGACAGAGGGCCGTGCCGGGGACAAGAAGTGGCAGAGACGAGTGTTGTGATTGGTTGATGTTCTCAAGAGGAGCTCTTGGAAAAGTTGGGATAAAGCACCACTGCCGTCACTGCAACCACCGCGGCAATCACCGGTATCCAGGGCATCCATCCGCTCTGAAACCAGGAGGAGGAGAAACACAGCAGTGCGATTAATAAAGGTCATTAGACGCACCAGAGCAACCAGGACAGAAGCACTGGAGACTGGAGCTAAAGAGACAGAGAGACCTGGGTGATAGTAAGAGACAAAGAGTTCAAGAAACACAAATAAACGGAGAGAAAGAGGGAGAAGAAAGGAAAAGCAAATATTTGAGTGAAACTGGGAGAACCAGTTACCTCACAGGAGTTATAAAGCAGCAAATAAAAGCAAACACAACAGTCTTTCTTTAAACTTAAAGAAAGAAAAGTAGCGTTTTAAAGGAACAGTTCACTCAAAAATGACAATTTAGACATATCATTTACTCAATGTCGTTTCAAACCTGTGTGACTTTCTTCTGTGGAACACAAAATGAGTATTTTCATGCTGCTCTTTTCTGTCAATCTCTAAAAAGCAGGACTAAAAAAGAAAAACATTTGACTATGCATTAATAATAATGGTGTCTAAAATCCTTTGCTTTCAAATGTTAAACTATAGAGCTTTTATTTTGGCAGAAATAAACTGAAAATGAAAATGCAGCTATTTTTTCTCTCAGATTAAATGCTATTCAAATGGGTCATTCTTTAGGGCAGAAAATATGGAAATCCAGATAAATATGGTATAAAAAATTTGTTGATAAGGGGGAAAAAGCACCTTGAAAGAACTATACTGTGAAAATAATTTTTAGGGGCTCTCACCACATTTTCGGAAATACTATTGGCTGAAATACACCCTTTTTGGCGTGTCCTCGCCGTTCGAAATGGGAATGATTTTAGTTGTAGGAATGCCTTTTGAGGGGACTAAATTAGCTCCTACTTCAGAGTTGGGTCTTACCCAGCACAATAGGAACTACCAGTGATGCAAGTGTACGCTGACCAATCCTACCGACTTAAGTTTCTGTATGGTTGTCACAAAATTCTATGGTACGACTTGGAACACAATGCATCAGTCATATCTATGACACTTTTATGCTGCTGCTTTGTTATTGACAGCCACTGATCGCTTTATGCTTTCATTGTATGAAAATAAGCAGCATGAACTTTCTTCAAAACCTTTTCTGTAGGTTATTTGAATGATACTAAGTCATACAGGTTTGAAACAGCATGAGGGTGAATACATGACAATGGTAATTTTGGGTGAAATATGCCTTTAATTTCATGAAAGTAAAGAAGAAGAGCAAAAGATGGTGATGATATGATGACCAAAATGCCCCAAAACAACAAAAAAAGAGAAAGAATCCAAAATCCCCAAATGCAAAGATTTATATGACCATTATGGCGATCCAAGCAAGACAGACAGTTAATGTGATTGGTTAGTAGGTGATTCTGGGTGGACGAGGAATCAGTTAAGAGTTCCCCATGTTGCCAAGCACCAAAAAGGGATTTTGGGGCGAAGCGGGTGCAGAGATGACGAATGAGAGTTTGCCATGCACAGGTCGTATATATGTGATGATATATACAGAAGTGGATATACAGGAGACACACAAACACAGACTCAACAGGAGCGTGTGTACCTTTCTACCACAACTGGCTGAAGCACCAATACAGCAAAGCCAGGAATAGACCGATGAAAATGGCTTGGACAGGCTGCAATATGGATGGCTAGAGGAGGGAAGGGATATTACAAATAAAACAAAAAATCAATCTTCAAACTATTCAACGGAAATCAGGCTGGGGAGTCGAACTACTACGACAAACATACAAACAAAAAAGGGTCATAAAAGGGTGCAGTGGGAGGATCCATTGATAAATCAACACAAACAAAAAATATCAGACGCCCCACAACCACAGACACATCTAGAAGCATGGCATCAGGAACGAGGACAGTGTTCAAGGCATTAATAACACACAGGAAAGGAAAAAACTGGTTATTTGCATTCAACTAAATATATCTACAATCTGTTAAATTTGCAAATCAAAGACACGTGAAGTGATTGTGACTCCAATCAGCAGTGTGCAAGGGATTGTACTGGGGGAATTGTGGGATACACTAAGGTGATAATTAATTACAGTGTTGTGTAGCAAATTGTAATCCCCAAAAATGAACAAAAGGCCAAAAATCAGCAACTAAAAGTGTCAAAAAACAGCCTCCTCTTAGGTCATAATGATGAAAAAAGGAGAACCTGAAAGTGAAAATTCTGAAGTCTTTGAGGGGTTAATATTTTATAACAATATATAACAAACAAAATGGAGACAAACATTAATATCCATAAATGGAGTAATTCCAAGAGGGTCCTCGCACTAATGAAACCTATTGGGCGTTTCTGTTTGAATAACAAACCGTTTGAATGCACCTATGATGCCCACAAATGCTCTCTCTAACTTGTTGCACCTGAAAATGTTGGTGTTAGCAAAGAATATTTGCTAACAACTCACAAAATCGTGCCGTATGTGTGTTCTTCTGTGCTTTCCAGAGCCATGCAAAACAGCAAAGTAAGATCTATCACTGGTTGCTGACAACTGCATTAAATGGCGTAATGTAAACGACAGCTAATTAAATGAAGTATAGTATAGGCTGAAATGCAGCGTGTTCAAGGTTTATCCTGTTGCATTGCGAATGAAACGTGCTGCTTGCGAGACTCACAGAGCTGCCCTTCTCTTGCAGGAGTTTGAGGTTGACCTTGCACTGTTCCAGCTCATTGTTGATGGAGCATTTCTCCTGCTCCGTCTGTTCATACCGCTGCCGGAGATCTGACAGCAGATTCTGAGAGTCGTCGTACTGGAGAGAAAGAGAGAGAATAACATGCAATCATTAAAAAACAGTTCTCATCTCGACAAATACCCAATAGGATTTTCCCATAGGTTTTTGGATTATCACAAAAAACAAGCTGTGATCAACAACAGTTTATGATACTGACACTTTTTGTCCATAAAGATAATTTTCACAGATTAACCCTCTAGGCGCCACGGTCGAGTTTACTCGACAAGATGCGGCACTGAATAAAACGCCGATTTTGTCAAATTGGGTGTCAAATTTCGTTCGACCTCCCCTCCACTGGATGGCAGACATGTCATACTTCATCCCCGAATCAAAAAAACGTCATGCTTCTATACAAAATGTTCGAGTTAGAGCGCATTGAATCAGTGCGATCAAAAGCGGAGCTGTTGTGCGAGTGAGCCATTTTATCAGATCCTCTCCGCAATCGCGGCGACAGTATTGTGGTGGAGACTTTGTCTAATGCCACTGGGTACGTTAGACGAGGTCGAAGTATTCATAGGACAGTTAGGAGGCAACGTGGAGGCAGGGTGAGGAGTCGCAATGACAGTGACAGTAGTCCGAGCTGTGCACACTCGAGGCAGATCTGGCCGCGCAGCTTGTATCATCTCACTGATGAAAAGTGCCTTGCCGTGGCGAGTGAGCTTTTGAACTAAACAGGTCTTGTCTACTTGTGTTTGTATGTCATATGAATAATATATATGTGCCCCATACATGGAATCAGAGTGCCTACTGTATTTAGTAAATGGAAAATCTCTACAGCAAAAGGCCAACCACTACATGCATTCGGTTTGTTTCTACCATTTATTAGTAATGATTTACACAGTTTGTTTACTACTTACTATATACCTGAGCATTCAGTATTGTGCAATATAGCATACAGAAGGTGATGGACATTTTGGGGGGAAAGAAGTGCTGCATTTTATTATTTAAACATGTGACTTTTCATGAAAATTCTATAATCCAAGATTGCCGCCACCATATGACGTCATAATATGCAAATTAGATGGGAAAATGTAATCCCTACATAAACTTTGGGTCATCCTTAATATTTCTCTAATTTACAGAAAGTCTCTATCTTTTATCACTTTAAAGATATAGCCTTTTGAAATTAAGATGTCAAAACGGAACGTTTTAGGAAAAAACCTCTGGCGCCTAAAGGGTTAACAACTTTTGAAGCCTAAATACAGCCACCAGAAGTAAAAAGCTAAAGGTAAGCTATAAACGAACTACATCACGGTCGAACGAATTCAACGTCACCATCACTAAGCTTTCGATAACTCTTTCAGTTTATATCTAAAAAAAAACTTTTTCCCAGAAAGTTTGAGTTAGAATAGTATATAAGAGCATAATTATAAGCATAACGAGGCTGTAAATGCGGACTGAGCTAATCTGTTCGTCGTGATGACGTTCAATTTGCCCGACGGCCTCCCATGTAATCACTTGGTAGTAAGACACGTAACAGCTTCAAAAATATCACGAGTGGGGTAATACTGATGTATTATGCCATAGAATAAAACGTGAAAGTGTCTTGAGCTTGTGTTCACCTTACTTTATTTGTGCCATTTAAAGTCGTCATGAAATCAAAATGTACCCTATTTACTTTGTTAGCTATAAAATGTCATGTTTATTTGTACTTTATTGTAAAGTGACCTTGAGTATTCTGAAAGGCGCTATATAAAATAAACGTATTATTTGTCTTGTCCTATAATGTTAAACATTACTAGTCTTGTGGTGAACAATTAATCAATTAAAGTTAATACACAAAAAAAATGGTTTGTCGTGGTGATCTTTAATCAACTTTTTAACATTTACTTCCGCTAAGGATGGCGTTCCTTCTCTGATGACGTCAGTTTGACGGCTTGGGTTGAATATCCTTAACCTCCAACCGTCAGTTTTCTATAAGCGAGGGATGGGATGGAGAAGAGGAGCGCTAAAGTAAAACCCTGCCCTCTTTTCAATATCCCATTGCAATATGTCATAACACTGGAGAAAAGTCGGTTTAGACTTCCGGTTCACAGGGAGTAAAATGCTAAAATGCTAACTCGTTTTGGCCTACAAAGTAATGTCATACCAGCTATTGGTGCGTTCAAGTCCTTGTGGGAAGTTCGTATTTACGAGGTGGGAAGTCGTGTTTACGACGGCAGGTGTGTTCAAATCACTCTCGTCGGATTAACTGGCGGTGTACTTTTAATTAATTAATTACACAAAATACAGCAAGGTTCTTAAACTCTAGTTCTAGAAAACGAAGAACAAAGAAATGTGCATTTTTTATTTGAAGCCACTGTAAACTTTGTTATATTATAATGCCATCATATTCTGTGCAGGTAGTTAACTTGCTTCGCTGTAAATAGAAAAGCCTGGCAATATCACTGCTAAATACCTTTAAGTATTGTGATATTCCACCATGTTTCTCACTGACACGCCCACAACTCGTAAAGATCGGGGCTTAAAGAAAATCCAGAGCTTCCCACTCGTATTTAGGACATTGTGGAGGCGTTCATGCGAGTTCAATTTGTAAATACGATCTATACGAGATGACTTGAACGCACCATTATACTGTGCAAAACTTTGGGAAGTTGATTGTACCTCCTTCTGCAGGTCTCTGGTGCGGCTCTCCGCTTGGGACAGTTGGACCTTCAGTTTGCTAGCGTCCTGTTGGTGCTGGTCTTGTATTGAGCCCAGTTTATTCGCCAGGTCACCCTGGGATTTCTCCAGATCGTTTAGGCTGCTGCACAACGTCTCACTCCGCTCTCGTGAACTGCGATACAAAGAAAGGAAAATAAATACTCTTCTGTTTACATTCTGTAGAGCTTTCAGAAAATGAACTAATCAATGGAATAAATGCATGTCATGGAAGAGAATGTTGTAGAGTGGATGTGAAGCTTTAGGGCAGATGAGCTCATAGCGGTGATAAGATGATAACGTAAGCACACTGAATAGGGGCGCTTAAGTACAGGACAAAGGTGCTTCAACATTACAATGGGAACCTGTCATGATGCAGTTGTTGTGTAATATGGTGAGTGATTCAAACATTCTCTGTTTATGTGAGAAGGTGTGGACTGTGTACAAAAACATTTTAAATCCTGGTGACTCACTTTTGTTGTGTGAAATGATCTAGACACTGTCATAGTGGCCCTGTTGTGAATGGGCTTTTTGTGTGCATGTGACCCACCTGTCAAGCTCTTCCTCTAGTCTGAGGAGTTTCTGCATTAGCGTTGTCTTCTCAGCCCGAAGACTGTCACATTCATTCTGCAGACCAGAGCACTCGGCCTGAAGCTTCGTTAATTCACCTGACAGACAGAAAATAATTTAACACCTCCATTCACATCCCAAACCTCCTGTTAAGCATTTACTAGTAATACATAAACTATATATATATACTTATATTAGTGCTGGGCAACAATTAATCACATCCAAAATAAAAGTTTGTGTTTACATAATATATTTGTATGTACAGTGTATAATTATTTTGTATATATAAATCACACGCATGTATATGTTTAAGAAAAATGTGTTATATATAATATATATATATATATATAATATAAATTATGTATACATTTACATACAGTATATACATGCAAATATGTTTCTTAAATATTTACATGCATATGTGTGTATTTATATTTAAAAAATAAATCATACATCGAACACAAACAAACATTTATTTTGGGTCCGATTATTCGTTGCCCAGCACTAATATATATATATATATATATATATATATATATATATATAAGCAATTATAATAATTGAGAGAGAGAGATTAGTCACACCATTTCACACAATCTAATCTAAATATAAATCATTAAAAAATTTAATTAAAAAATATATATATTTTGTGCATCAAAAAACTGGTTTTACTGTATATATGATTTTTTTTTTAAAGAAAATCTGTAAAATTAAACTTGAATAATTAGAGAAAACCAAAATTTGAGCCACTTTAAATTGTTTGCATTAGGTATTCTGCACATCAATTAAAACCATAATCCAATTTAAGTGAAGACAAACTTAAAATATATTTCAAACACAGGCTAATTTTATACTTGCATATTCTGGCTTTCAGCCCAGTGTGTCTGTTTCCATACTTTTTGGTTTCAGCATTGAATTTTTATTTTGGTAAATCACTACTATTAAATTTATCCTGTCATATTTTATTTTAATGGATGAGAATTTGTGCAGCCTAACATGGATTCAAAAGATCTCAGAAGCAGTGTCAAATGTCACACTTTCATATACATTTTTCCGTGAAAAACAGAACAAGGAACCAATCAATAATAAATAAACCCAGCAGGATGGTCGATAATAAAACTGTTTCCATGACTCCAGTAAGGCGGCTAAATAAAAAACACATGCGTGCGTTCTCAATCTGTGAAGAAATCTTGTGTAATGAAATTAATCTTCCGGAACTTAATGAATAGAATAAAATAAAAGTAGGCAGCACAGCAAATAAACATTATGGTATAGTGTAGGGCTGGGCGATATGTAAAAAATATTTTATCGATAATCGCCTTAAAAAATATCGCGATATCCGATTATATCGTCTACCCAAGCCCCGCCCCCTATGCGCCCCGCTGGAGACAACACATACGGAATACACGTTAACACAAGTCATGTTGAGTTTGGCTGCACTTTATCTAATGATAGCCTGCGATTTAGTTGGTTTAATTTAATGATTGAAACGTTAAAGGTTTTACTTTGGTTAGTTTGAGCTTAAACGAGCATAAAACATTAGCTTTGCTTGTTATGTTAGTGTTGCTAATAATTTCCTCACTGTTCTTATTGCATCTGTGTTTGAAACGAATTTCGTTTCGTGAGGAGAAATGTTAAATAGGCCTACAACTGAACAGAACAGAACACAATTTGGTGATTGTAAGAATGGTGAATGATGATGTTATAGCTAGGTGTCTTGTCTTGTCTATTTGTTTTTCATAAGGTCCGATTTTCTCCTTTTTTTTGGCGGTATCGCCTGATTTAATAATACGTTTAATTTCCTGTGTAGCGCTGTTTTTAAACTTGTATTTTCAAACTATAATATATTTGTTATTTGTCTAAAATTAGGAATTAAAAACGAATTGTCGTTCTGAATGAGTAAAGTTTTGTTTTTTCCTCCTTTTTGGTTTTAGTTCCAAGTTCAACTTAAGCCGTTTAAGAAATAAAAATGACTGCTTTATTTATTTAGAAACAGAAGTCATTAAAAATTATATTTGGGGATTTTTTTTTTTTTTTTATTTATTTATTCATTTATTTAATCTAAAGCAAAGTAGGCCTATAACGCTCCCAATATAGCCTATGGAGCTGCCAACATTGCTCCGAACGCGTGCATGAGATAGCCTATTCAAACGCAATTTCTTCATCCGTTTGCAATATAACGACATTTTTATTTTAATTTTAATTACAATGGTCACGTTTGTGCTTTTTGATTAGGCCTATTTATTATGTGCAACATTTAAATTAATATTCAGAAACGGGTAAAGTTAGCCTACTTCTACCATTTGTTTTTTATCACTTTTATCAGCCTGCAAACCAAAATAAAATAGGCCTAGGCTACTTGATTATATGAAGAAAAATGTTTAACAAAATTACGAAAGTAAGGACAAATGATGTTTGACAGGGAACGCATCTCAAGGTCGCACAGACTCATGTTGCAGTTGGAGCAGTCAGCGCCGAACAACAGGCAAATAAAATATTAAGCTAATTAAAGTTACATAAGTTCAGTGAGTGATTTTCTTTTTCTTTTGTTCTTTGATCAACATTAATGGTGGCAGCGAGTAGGCTGTCAGTGGACTGATTCAGTAGACACTACTGTTTTACTTTCTCAACCGTTAAGACAAAACCGGCTGTGTTTACGGGGATATTTGAACTTGAAAAGAGGTGTGCCTACTGAAGTCTTTCCACGGTTGAAACAATAATTCTTCTGATGTTTATTCATGTTTATTTGATGCTATAAATTAACTAGAAGTATAATTGTGAGATATAATTCTGTGTATTTGTCCGTGCACTAGGCTATGTGAGAGGCGGCTCTTTGCGCTGTTTGCGTGAGTGCGCAGCTCAGAAAACAGCGTGCATGCAGACGTGTTCTCTTTCGTCTTGCGCTTTAAGAATGCTATCAAGAATCGATTTTCTATTCTTAATCCTACTAACTAGCCTATAAAAAATATTTCATTCATGTTATTGCATGATGATGTGAATAAATATGTTTAACTATAGGGCTATGTGAAATATAAGCCTATGTCATTTTTTGATATTGACGATTATCGTCTGGAAACAGACTGTTAAATCGACATCGCGATACTTGCGAGACATCGTCGATATACGATAATATCGTCATATCGCCCAGCCCTAGTATAGTGTAACCAAAAAACATATGTCTAGCATTAAAAAGCTAGGGGTCGATAAGATTTCTGAAACAGCAATATTGTGAAATATTACAATCTCTATTTGAATATATTTTAAAATGTAATTTATTCCTTTGATGACAAAGCTGAACTTTTAGCATCATTACTCCAGTCTTTAGGGTCAAATGATCCTTCAGAAATCATTTTTATAGGCTGATTTGGTGCTTAATATTTTGTGGAAACCGTGATAAAAAATGTTGATGTCCTAAAACAGACATTTCTTGCTGGAACAGCAGGAAAATAGGAATCTATATGTATATAGATTGAATGTATTTATAATGTATATAAACTCAAACTATACAAATGAGAGGAAACAAATGTTTCCAAACATGAATCAAAGGCGCTAAAGAAGAGAGAGAGATCAAAGACACCCAGATCAGTGATGATCTCAGCCATTGTTCCTCTGAAGTCAGCTTGATTTATGGCATCCAGAGAGACATTGAAAGCCAAACAGCACATCAGGGCCACAGCAGGTTCACCAAAGGAGCTGTAATGACGACAGAAATGAATGGTGGTGGTGTGTCATTACCTTGGAGCTGGCTGGCTCTCTCCTGGTGCTGACTCTGGAGCTGGAAGCTGGCCTGCAGATTGCTGATCTCCACTTCATACTTTGCTGCCGTCTGTCTCCATTTGTCCAGTTCTGCGGTGACGATGCTCAGGTCTCCCTGCAGGGCGGCGATCTCCCGTTCCCGCTCGGCAGTGGCGGCCTCCATGGCATGCCGGAGGACTAGGATCTCCTCCTGGGCGCTGTAGAGCTCGTCTCGGGTGGTGGAAATAGTGTTTTCCCTCTGCTCACGCAAAGCCTCCATGTCCGACTGGAGCTTCGCTAGTTGAGCTGAAGAGAAAGATGAGTTACGGTCATTTTTTACCATGATTGAAGGGTGGTGTTCGGTCAAACTAGTAGTGATGCGCCAGAATTTAAGCACTGAAAAATTATTTTTGGTTCTGTCTGAAACCGTTTTGGAGGGGGGAGATCATTTTTAATGACTTAGATCTGTTCAGTTTACCTAAAACTTTCATTTATAATGCATCTCCCAACCAATAATCGCAATAAGAATTGTGCTTGGTTACTTTGTGATATTTCAAACGTTATTTTGGCACTCTTTAATGTGGCATGTCGGATCGCTGTAGCGCCAATCATCACGTGAACCATTCATCTCCTCTTTACTACTAGTTATAGCACGAAATAAAAATGAACATCAGAAGGTGTGTTAAAAAAAGATACAGTACAACTTACTGATATGTATCATGTCTCATGTAATCCGTGTTTTTTTTAACCGTGGAAAGGCGTCAATAGAACTTGTAAAGTTATCTTTACCTCAGAAAAGCCATTCAATAAAGTGTATGCAAAAACATTATATTTTTACTTAACATGTCGTCTTAATTATTTAATGTCTGAATAATAAAAATGTCATCAAAACAAGTTATTACAGCCTCATTTAAAGGTTTATATTTCAACAGTGATTCGGAGTAGAAACAATTGTAATTAAAAAGTTAAAATAAAAACTTAATGCCTTGTGTGGAATCTAAATGTTTATATACAGCTCAGTTTTAATTCGAGGGTTGATTATTAAATAAATGTTATTTATTTATTTTTTAAAACTTTTCTGTTTTTGTAATTTCAGTAGAAAAATCATTTTAGTGCACCGCTTAAAACTAGAGGTCAACCCATACTGATGATTAGATTCAGATTAGATCCATTTTATGAAGCGATGAAGTCAAAACACTGCAGAAATGTGTGTAAGTGTTTGAAGGACTCACTCTGTAAGAAGCGGATCTGTTTAGCAGATTCTTCAGTCTGCTGTCTGTTGGTTGTCCTCTCCTCCTCAAGCAGGGCTAATGGGAAAAAGACGTTCAGTGATTCACGCTAAACCCAGAGCAATCATGACTCTCGATTATTGATGCTGAATCACTATTAAATGAGCACTCGACACCCTGACGTACCCTGAAGCTCAAGGCATTTCTGTTTGCCGGTGTTGGCGAGCTCCTGGGCCTCCTGCAGCTCTCGGTGGAGGTGTGGAATAACCTGCTCAGTGTCTCCAGCTTCCAGGTTCCTGTCCATTTCTACAAACATACACAGAGCAGATGGAAGAGTGAGGGAGCATGAAGAAATAACATGGCTGACACGAGGTAAAAAGACAATAAGAGAGATAAACTGACCTAAGAGTGAAACATTGAACCCCAAGTACTCCATTTATAACTCATCCTGCATCTCAAATCATGCAGCTTGTTGCGAAATACTTCTCTCTCTAAGTGATTCTAGCCCTCAGAGACTCCAAGTATTTATTCTGATGATGTATGAAGCTTTTCACAAATAAACATGTCTTTATGAACCCATTAGTAGTAAAAAAATAAAAAAATAAAAACATTTATTTAGGCAAAACTTGCATTGGGGTATAATTTATAAAGCGTTGCAAAATTGTAAAGCTGGGCATTTAGGGTTGCAAAATTTGAAACTATGAAACTTTGAACTCTTGTGAAAGTGAGAGAAAAAAATTCAACACACAAATGTATTAAAAAAATACTATATTTACTATATTTTAACCAGTAAGGATACAGTCATGAATTTCACTGAGCATTTAAATACTATAATAAAAATTATATCAAATCATATTTTAAATATAATGCAGCAATTTTAATACCACTTAATTTATAAATATATATAATATAATATAAATATATATAATAAATATACATTGTCAAATCAATGAGACAATGACGAAATATCTAGGAGAACACCTGCAAATAATTGGAATAGTTTTTGTACCATTCATTCAGACGGCATTTTCTGAAGCAGCTGTGAAACTGTGTATTCTGAAAAGTGCTATACATATAAACTTAAATTGATTAGGTATGTTTGAATATGAAAAGTATGGCGTAAGTCTGGTCTCTGAGAGCTAGGGGTCTTTTCCACAGAAAAGCAAATGTAAAAAAAAAAAAAAAGTTTCTAATAAACTGATCTTTTCAGTCTCAAACTGCAAACATTTCCGTGCTAAAACACTTCTCTCATCGGCTTTCCTAAAAGCCCAAAGCCGTGAGCGTGAGACGAAACAATCACGACGCTTCAAAACTCTGTCCAAACATTAGGAGCCACAAATGATTCTGTTCGACCCCATGAGCAAAAACATCAAGCACTAAAACTTGTTTACTGCAAACCAGAATCAAGATGCTTGTTCAGAATCAATTCATTACGTGAAGCACAAAGCATTTCTGTGTGCTCAGTCCATCAGTGAATGACTTGAGTGCAAATGCACAGACGAGCTTACATCAAACAGGACAACAGAACATCTAAAAAGCATCGGACTATAGACAACTTAAAGCCTGATTACGTAACAGAGCCCTAATGGAGGATCTACAAATGAGCCACTGAGATGACCTGGACCAGGCCAAGCAAAACAGACATTAGACACTTTCCTGAGTTCTCTCATAAGACTTCATGCCGAGCAAACGTACATTTGCCCCTGCAGTCTCTCTGAGGAGCATCCAGTTGGTCTCTCATGTGGTCTTGTAACAACAGGCTTTTGGGAAACCTCCTCTGACCATAAACTGATGAACGTCCCCCCTCTCACAACACACTACAGATGTCGGTGAAGTCATGTGCTAATTTAAGGGCTGGTAATCCGTCATGATGTCAGACGGAGGGTGTTTACTGCGAGCGAGGGAGTTGCTTTCAGGCAAAATGATGTAACGAACTTGTCGTTTCTGAAGTTTTGCCATTCATTTAATGAGAGGGGGCCTAAAGTGGTGTGTAATCTCATTCTGCTCCTCCTCCGGTGATTTCATCAAGAGCTTCTTAAAAGAATTTCATGGCTGAGATTGAGTATCACAACCATATAAGGTTACATATGTTCAGATAACTCTTCATTAAGGCAATTGAATAACTCGTGCCAGACGCCCCAGTGTAGATGCAATCTTGGAGGAAATGAGAGCATTTCATAGCTATTCAACAGCGCCCCCTAGAGCTAAAAGCTTGTTGGACAAATCAAATCAGAAAGCAAAATCAAATGCAAATGTCTTATCCAAAACAAATACAGCAGAATTCTGACTGATAATAAACTGAACAATTATTAGGTTGGCTTAAGATGCCGATTAAAGATATTTGCCTCAGACACATGGCATCTGTGTAGTGGTACTCAATCAGGAGGCCATGGTTCACTAGTGGTATTCACACAAAAGTATTTAATTTATGACAAAACGTAAGCAAACAGCTAAAAATCAAGATGAAAACCAACATATTTCTTAATCCATTCCCTCGTTTTTATTTAAGAACCAGGATTCTTGCTGTCTTATAATTTTTTTTTAATATATCCAAGATTTCCAAGAAATTAAGCCCTTTTTAAAAAAGTCAGAGAAATGAATAAAATCTGTAAATTTCTATAACGAATAACTGTTTTAAAAAAATGGTGTAAAGATTTGAAATATTTTATTGAGTAGAATGGAGTCAAAACGGTGGAGAACTACTGATTTAATGGGAGGTAAATACAGTTAACATTCAATTGGTTCTATTATTACAAAATTAATACACTTTTTTGCATATTAGCACATTAACATATGACAGGCCACATTTACATAGTGCATATTGAGTTTTCTGCAACTTGACCTAATGTACAGGTCAGAGGTCTACTAATTTATTTTCTTCATTTATTTATTTTTGAACAGGGACAATGTAAAATATACATTAACCTTAAAAAGGAGAGATGCATAATACCAGGTTGTAGCACTCGTGCTAATTTCCACCTGTAGTCCTGAAGTGTTTTGTTTTTTTGCACCAAACAGCTAGCATGACTTTCCTACAACAGTTACATCATTAGTCCTACTGGTGTTTAGGAATAAAAGAATCTATCAAGATGTTTCTTTAATATCTTCAGCGGGAAACAACTGATCCTCCTCAGAGGTGGCAGCACACGTCACTCTCGTCTTGGCCGCCTCGGAGTCTGCCTGGCACGCACTACGGTTCATCAAGACTGCCCACAAACAATGAAGTGCTGAAACAGGCACTTCCTCCCTGATCCATTTAACAAGAGCCAGTGCTCCTTATCTGACGACCCGTTAAAGGACATGAGCTCACTGCGATCACCAGAGCCCACTTAGACTGAATTAAACCAAATGCGATGCAAGTCTGAACAACATTTTTGTTCAATGACAACTTGCCTAATTGGTAAACTAAAATAAAATTGGTAAATTTAATTGGTTTGATAATATGAGTTGTGAACAGATTAATTAGAAAAACAAATAAGGGAAAATGTTAAAATAATGGTGTCATTCTGAATGGATCAAACCAACAGTACCTAAAATGATCTACTGTGTCATATCTCTTATTTAGGTATCAGTAGGGTAGATTGACCCAGTTCACCAGCTAACCCAGCCAGGTCATGCAACACTAGAGACACAGAGACAATAAGTCTACAAACAGAAATGGAAACAGGGGCTTCTTATGTGCCCCAGCAGGAGCTTAACAACTTTAAAAACATCTTTACAGGTGTCATATTCTACTTTGGTAACATTTTAAAGTCCATCTAGTGTTATTCAGGGTGTGTTTTGCACCAAAAACGCCCATGGTTAAATATAATTTTTCAAGCAATCTGACACTTAAAATTAAACCAGCTGTTTGTACTACTGTAGTTTTAAAACTTCTATACTGTACATAAACAACCAGTTTGTGGTTCATTAGAGCAGGTTAAGTTGTTGAATACTCAACAGACAATGAATTTGTAAAGGTGGGCGGTCAAATGTTAATATGAATATGACATTATAGCATCTGAATGTACTGTTTTTGCAGTTTAGTTTCGATAAAAGGTCTTTTTGGACTGCGAATGGAATTATGCATTATGAATATTACGCAGTATGCCTATATAGCACATTTGCAGATGGATCTTCATGGAAATGGATGTGTGGGAGTCACATGTTTGCATGCACTGCCGTCTGGTGTGACTCAGCAGGGTGAGAGTAGACATCTTCAACCTGTGTGGGCGAGTCACAATTGACCGTTCACAAAGACCCTTTAGTTACTGTTGCCATGTCAAACGAGCTACGCCGCTCTCACGCCACACCATGTTCTCACGCAGTGGAAAATACATCGTGGAGCAAAGACACTGACAACACACTGACAGACAGGACAGACCAGGTTACTTTTGATATAAAACAAAGTCTCACCTTTCAAATTTGGTCCTTTTTTAAAGAAATTTAAACAATAAATACCGTTTTGTGGCTCTTTAATGTGTCTGACAGATCGCTGTAGCGCCTCTTAAAGCTGCTCGTGAACCGATCATCTCTTCCATCTAGTTCATTTACAGCATCAAATAAACATGAATGAACATAAGAAGAAATGTTGTTTTAACCACGGAAAGACGTCAGTACACACCGTTTCTCAAGTTCAAATCCTCCAACGTTAATCTACTAACTCTCCTGACCGCTTTCTTGGACAAAAATGGCGGATTATGATTGGTCAGTTCGCCTGTCAATCAAACTGCCTGCAAGGGTCAATTGAGCTGATGACATCTGAGATGAACTGCATAAGAAGGGGGCAAATACCCTCACCCTGACAACTACAAAGCAAACTACTAGTGCCACTTCAGCTACTGTCGTGTACATTTCATCACCATACATTAATTTGTTTGTTAAATATTCTCTCGATTAAACCTGAGTATTTTTTAGGATGTTGCATTCACCCTCATCAGTCTTTTTTTAGTCCATGCTTTCTTCAAATCCTTGGTACGAGCAACAGTCTCAGTAAGAACCGCAAAAATACAATTTTCTTATTTTCTAAATGTGCAAGTTTCAAACTTTATGAGTAATTTAAAGGGATACTCCACCCCAAAATGAAAATTGTCATCATTTACTCATCCTCATGCAGTTTTAAACCTGTATGACTTTCTTTGTTCGGCGTAACACAAAATAAGAGTTTTTTTTCCTCCATTGTATAAAAAAAAAAATTTCGAACAACATGAAAGAATTAACATTTTTGGGTGGAGTATCCCTTTAAATTACTTTAAAATGTGAAAATGTAACACTAAACACTCTGTGAAGTCTAAAAAGAGACACAGTATCAGTTCAAACCAACCCTGATACTATCAGCATTCATTTTCTCCTAACTGACAGACGTCTGAACAGCAGCTGTACGTGACATTGTGAAAGCACTCAGTGTCTAATTGGGCTGTAATTGGTTTGCATTCCACACTGTCGTCCACTGGAACACAAAGTGGGACGAGGGGAAGATCTGAGGGAGGGATATAAACCAGGATGACGCAGAGACACCTGTTCAGCGCCACAGAAAGAAGACGACTCAAGCCCACCACTAACACCTTGTGGGTCCCACCGCTGTCGCCTCCAGCAGATGTAGACCATATATAGTCACATTGGGGAATAACACACCCTGTTAATCTGCACAGTTGTGCCGCATGCCAGTCCACTGACCTCTAATGAGTGCAGATAAAGAGGGTGACTAACACTCCAGTTCAGCCAAATCACACAAACACACCCACCATCAGCCCTGGCATTTCAGACCGGGAAGCTCAACTCAAAAAGAATGGAGGGATTACCTTTCAAAAGAGAAACCCTGTTCTGGGGATCGTTCAGTTCTTGTTCATCCATCTGTCCGTCTGGAATGAGGGAACGAGCGAAAGGGAGAAGCATGAATAAAAACATTAAAGAATGAAAGAAAGAAAAAGAAAGAGAGAGAGAGAGAGAGAGAGAAAGAGAAAGAGAAAGAGAGAGAGAGAGAGAGAGAGAGAGAGAGAGAGAGAGAGAGAGAGAAAGAATGAGAGAAAGCATGAATAAAAACATTAAAGAATGAAAGAAAGAAAAAGAAAGAGAGAGAGAGAGAGAAAGAGAAAGAGAGAGAGAGAGAGAGAGAGAGAAAGAATGAGAGAAAGCATGAATAAAAACATTAAAGAATGAAAGAATAAATAAATAGAATAAAAGAGAATAATTTAAAGGAAAAATTTAAAAGAACAAATATAAAAAAAGAACAAAATATTGTTTGAAAAAATAATTATAATACATATAAAAATTAAATAGCGCTTTTTAAAAAAATTAAAAAAGTGGGATGTATAAATAAAAAGCTGTGGAAACCAAAACAGCAATTCATACATTAAAAGTATCGTCCGTCCATGCTTTACATACCTGATGTGTCGTCACTGCTTTTCTCCTTGCTGGGGCTCAGAGTATCTGACATATCGCACTCTTTAGCGTCTATTTGGTTTTCTATGGAGGCAGAGCGGAAGAGACCACTTAGAGGAGAGGGGGGACGCAACTCAAAACAACACCAAAACAACACAAATGACAGCGATCGCAACCTTACTAGGCTCTCTGCTTCAATTTCTTAGTCTGAACAGGAGTGTGTTTGTAGGTTGTTAATATATAAGACTCGATTTCTCTGGATCGACAATAGCAGGCAGTGAATGAGCCCCCTGTAGATCATCCTCTCTGGCTGGTGGTAGTTAATGCCCACACATGGTCATTTGAGTGACCTGGGCTTCAAAACGGACATAGTCACATGCTAAACTAGTTGCTGTGATGCAGTAGTATCCATGTGGACTAAAATGAGTTATTAATGGGGTTTGAACAGGGTGAGGTGACGGCAGTCTTAAAAAAAGCTTCTGGGAACATGTTCATACCACGAATAATGCATCATCTGATATTATTGAATTGCACTTCAAATTTTCAGTACTTTTTTTAATGGAACTTAGAAAGTAAATGCTGTCTAGAGACTTTCATTAGTCTCAGACATCAGGTCAAACATTACGCAAACATTTAATCAATATATAACCTCAAAAATTCCTGCGGTTACATCACATGATAGATCTTTTGAACTCAATATAGCGAATGGTGACTCAATGGGACTGACGGGAGGAAAACCAAATGATATCGTCATAGGTAATAGATGACCAGTGAATTATGGTCTAATCCGTGTGGCCGTAATCTTAGTCTCTAATCCGAAGGGATTCAGGGGTCAAGGCAGCTGGGAATGGCTGGATTCTGGGTCAAGGTCTAAATGCCTCATCATCTGCATCTCTCATCACAAGGAGGCAGCTTTAATGAGGTCATATCCTGGACCAGAGCGAAACTACTCATTTTCTTCTGCATTGATTAAGGGGGTAATAGGCGGAATGGATTTAAACATTTTTAATAGTAAACCAAAAAAAGTTATAAAAAAAAGTTATTTATCCATTAATATTATTAGCCAGAATGAATGTAAACATTAAACGAAAAACTTTTAAACAATTTTTATAAAATATTAGGTCAAACTGGTTTTAACATTTTAAACTGTAAAAGAAAAAGTTACACTTTTTTTTTAACCTATTATTATTATTATTATTACTACATTACGTTCATTATTAGGCAGAAAGGATTTAAACATTTTAAATTGCAAATGAAAAAGTTACAACAAATAGTTGTTTTCTTACCTATTATAATTATTATTATTACATTATCCTGCGGAATGTATTTAAACATTTTAAAATGAAAAAGTTGCAACAGATAGTTTTCCAACTATTATTATTATTAACAACAATAATAATATCAATAATAGTAATAGTTGATAACTATAGCTAAATCATAACTGATGATGGTGATGATGATGCAGTAATGACCCTGACCTGGTCATGCTCTTTGACAAGGCTAAAAATAACTAATGTTCATTACTGCCACCCAGAGCACGCGGTTGTTTAATTTGGTTTTAAATGGAGGCCGGGGGTGTAAACTTTGTGCTTTCATTGCAATCAGATTGCATTATAATGTAATGAGACAGTTCTCTCAAAACTAGCTTAATCTAGAAAGAAACACACTTGAAGTGACCGAAATGTGACGATACCTTTAAGCCTGTCTGGACTGGCCAAGCTGTTGTCCACTGTCGTCTGGTTATTCTGAAGATGCGCATCAATAACCTCTGTGGAATACAACAAGAAAAAAAATTGACATGTCTCTTCTCAAGTTGTATTATCTAACAGGATTACTAGCACACAAACTGCAAATTGTTCCTGAGTGCACAAGAATTACATCCTAGAAGTTCACCTCAAATGAATGAACACCAAAATATGTAGTGCAAAAATGCCCTGTTCAAATCAATCAATTAAAACACACACACACACACACTCCGCACACTTACCGTCAAAGTTGGACAGCTTGTTAATGGATGAGTCCACAGCTTCCTTCAGCTGCCTCACCGCTGGTTAGAAAAGAGAAATGTCATGTTAGTATAAATCTCTTTATGGTCACTAAATCAAGCCTGATGCAACTATTAAATATTTAGCATTATACATCAAATCTCAGTTATTAAAGGACACTGACGCAGCCCAACTAAATACATTATCAGCAGCAAAAAAAAAAAAACTAATTTGTAGTATTCTCCATACATACAGAACAAAGCGAAAATGACACATGAAAAGCGTCAGTGGAAGCTCATAGACCTCAGAACGCATGCTGGTGAGAGTGAAAATCCCCGGGAAAAGAGAAAATCCAGGTCAGCTGGTGGTGAAGGGAGAACAGACGGCATGCAGAGTGTTTTCGTTAAGAATCCATGTCGGGTTTGGAGAAGGATATTTACTTGTGTACAGAGAGACTTTACTTGTTACAGATTATAATTAGCTATAGACAGAGAGATTCAAGATTGTACAACAGATAGTGCCAATACTAGGGGTGTAACGAGACCCTCATGTCACGATTCGATACATATCACGATCCTGAACTCACAATACGATATTATTGCGATACTCCAAGACATATGGTAAAAGGTTAAAGATTAAAATGCTAAATTTGATATTACATTGTGTGTGTAAATGAATAGTCTTGGACTTGGTGCTGGAAACCAAAAGCACAGGACAATAGAGACACCAGAATAACAATATTCATGATTCTGAAGCTAAAAATACAGAATTATTTTAGATGAATATGATTTCACTCTGACTAGTTGTATTTAAAATATTGCAGACCACGTTTTACAGGCAACATCAGACATTTGGCATTATCAGGACCCACAAATATTCCCTCAGTGCATTATATTCAACATTATATGTAGTACTGACACTAACTCTGTAAACATGATTTTTTTTCTCGCATAGTAAATTTTATTTTGGGTGAACTAAACGCTATACATATCGTCACTAGTATCCACGATACATATTGTTGCATTTTTGTATTGCGATATATTGTGACACCCCTAGCCAATACTAAATCCTGAATGCACCGTTCTGCAATGTAGTGTAATATTTTCACATATAGTATGGCCTCTCAAACCATATTGCTTAATATACATAAAACAGCAACTATATTTTCAACTTAGCTCGAGGAAGATCAAGAAAATAGAACTAACTTGAGATGAAATACAAATCAAATCATTCACCCTTTTTTTAACTATTACAATCTTTTGGATTAATGACAAGAAAATAAGGTGGCATTTCACAAGATTTGGAACGAGGAGCTTGAAAACTACTGTCAACTACAGAGTCAACACAAACACTTTTTTTAGCTTCCAAATTACAAAATCACTTGATATAGATTGCTTATTTCTTCCCATTTTTATATATATATATTCAAATAAAATAAAAACACGAAAAAAGTTCCATTATTTTTCAACATGTCAAACACTTTAAAGTAAATTCAACCTTACAATTGGGCTCCACTATGCTAGAAAATAACCAATAATATTTTTGTAAAAATACTTGGATTTGTTATTTAAAATGGCATTCATTATTTTATTAAAATAAAGGTATGTTGTGAATATGCATCTTTAAAAAAAACGTCATCTAAATAAGTCTGCTGATCCTAATGTACAAATAACTATAATGGCTCTCGGTTTAAAATGACTCGTAGTTCAATGAGGGAGTCATTTGTGAACTCGATAACGATTCTGAATAATTCAGTTTTTCTGAGCGAGTGAGTCTGATTCAAACTCAAAGAATCTTTTTAAATACTTACTAAAAATAATCACTTTACAAGAGTCATTTGTTCACTTCGCATTTCTCGTTGCGTGTTCAGGAATCATAAATGTAATTTACAAACACTACCTCGCAAAATATTACATAAATCGCATATGAACACAGGCAAATACTATCGGCTATCGGCCAAAAGAGACTAGACTTTAAATTGGTGGCAAATGAAAAAATAACATTAGTTGCAGTCTGAGACCCTCTAGAGTTCATGTCCCTGTAAACACCTTCCTCACTTTACAGAGTAAAACAACAACGGATTCCTGCTTTAATGCTCATTATTAATAAGATTATTTATTAGTATGGTTTTGGAAGACTTTGGAAAGAATGCGGTGTACTCACATTGACACTCAATGTACTGTTGGATTAAAGTGCAGTCTCCTCCACTCTTTAAAAGAAAGTGGTCTACCAAAGAAAGAAAAACCCTCCATTAAATGAACAGCAAATGGACTAACACATCGAGGGGCATCAGATGATAATAAAACATAAGCCAGATCTACAGGATACAATACGAGACGGAACCAAACAGAGATGCAGAGGGCGGGACAAGGACACAGACGGGAGACTGCAGCTATTCGTGGACCTGCGTCTCACTGCCCTGAAGAGATTGACTGACACCTGTCATTCACCTGTCACGACTAGGACAAACACTGTGACAAAGAGGGCTGATACTGATAATCAAGGATGATGTTTTTGCAGATGATTCCACCTCTTATAAGTATCAGAAATACTGAATTTGGCGGGGAATCTCCTAAATAAAATATTCAAAATAAAAACTTGGTTTGGTAATATGTCTGTTATTTTTTATCTTATATTTTTTGAATTATTATTATTATTTTTATAGTCATATCATGGATATATATGGAAGCTTGTTTCCGCCACTGAAAATAAAATAAAAAATAATTCCGACTTTTTCTCTCACAATTGCGAGATATAAAGTCGCAATTCTGAGAAATAAAGTCGCAATTGCAAGAACTAAAGACAGAATTAAGACTTTATCTCACAATTCTGACATTTTTTCTCACAATTGCTAGTTTACATCTCGCAATTCTGACTTTATAACACATAATTGCGAGTTTGTATCTTGAAATTCTGACATCTTTTCTCCGAATTGTGAGATATAAACTCGCAATTGTGAGTTATCAGGCCAATTCTAAGGGGGAAAAAGACTCACTTTTTTCCCCTCAGAATAGTTTATATCTCACAATTCTGACTTTACAACTCACAATTTCGACTTTATATCACACAATTCTGACTTTATAACATGCAATTGCGACTATTTCACGCAATTCTGACTTTACAACACGCAATTGCGACTTTATATCTCGCAATTGCGACTTTATATCACGCAATTCTGACTTTATATCACGCAATTGTGAGAAATAAAGTCAGAATTGCGAGAAGTAAACTCGCAATTGTGAGAAAAAAAGTCCGAATTGTGAGATAAAAAGTCGCAATTACCTTTTTTATTTTTCATTCTGTGGCGGAAACAAGCTTCCATAATATAACACAATGTTTTGGCCAAATTGTGCAAACAAGCTTGTAACTATTTATAATAATAATAAAAATTGCATTTTAAATTGCAATCACAATTTTTTATCAGAACAAAAGCAATTAGATATTTCCCCCTCTGGCTGCCCTATTATAAAAGCTTGAAGTCAGTTTCCTGTACAACTATTTTGATGCAGCATAAGGCCTGACATGCACATCACTCATGGTTTAACAACCACACATTTTGACGACACCGTCTTTAAAGTTTTCCAGTAAATTTCGGGATTTCACAGGCTGATGTTCCCTACAAGGGTCTTATTGAAGAAGGAAAAAACATGCTACACTATCCTAATCATTTCTGAAGTCAGTGCGTTTCATGGAAATTAATGATGAAGGGAAAGTTCAATGAGAGGAACGTCTCAGCCAAGAGGTTTGTGTTATGTGGTACACCACATCAAGGTGAATAGCGGTTTCATTTCTGAGATGCTGCCTCATTTCTCTTCCAGAGAGTATAGTACTAGAAATGTGTTCAGGAATATAAATTTGTGATTATTGGGCTCTGTTTCAAACCCTAGTGGCCTTGCTGTGTACTGACTACACAGATTGGGTCTCATTCATGAAACATTCGTAAATATACGAGTAAATATGAGAGTGATTTGCGCGTAAAGAGACCTTCCCGAAAACTCATCTCCTGATTCACAAATACTTCGTAAACGCCAGATGTGAGAGTGAAATGTGTGTGTGTGTGTGTTAATGAATTCCAATCAGTCGTAAATGGGACGCGCGTGCACGCTCATTCTCAATTACCATAAATTCCGCCCATTAAATCCGACTGACAACTATATATGGGCATCATATTATGACACCAAACGAAGGATTTCAACATGGCTTCTCAAAAGCGAATGAAAAAGAAAAATTTCTCAGATGCAGAAATCGAAGTTTTATTATCAAAAGTTCATTCAAAACACCACATTTTATTTTCAAGCGTAGGCTACATAGTGGCGTATCAGGTCCTTAAGAAAGATTACAGATGCAGTTACTGGAGTTTCATCTGTTAATCAAACAGTCCCAGAAGTAAAAAGAAAAACCTTATGTAATTACTATATATAATATTTTTTCAAAATGCTGTGTAAATCTGTACCCGATTAAGGTGAATTAAAATGCAGCCTTAGTTATTAATGAGCAAAACGTTCGGGTGTTAAACTCACTATTTACGCGTGGCTGTGAGCAGGTGTAGATTTATTTCGTACCAACTAACATTTGGAAAATGCGAACATTTTAATGAATCCGAAAATTTACGCCAGAACCACTTTACACACGATTCACACAAATTCGTTCTGCTCGTGTTTCATGACTGAGACCCATTGTGTCCAATCTTCCAGCAGAGTTTAGTGCTGACCCTAATTAAAACATTGCCTAAATGACATTAACAATATCATCAATTAGCAGAATTAAAATGGGTCCTAACCATTCAGAACTTTATCATCAATCAAAGAAGTCTAGTACAAAATACAAATGACTAAAAAGGCCAACCAGCTCACACTAAAACTCCCTTCCTCAGAATACTTCCCTCCTATACTGATTAATTAAACAAGTACACAGGAAGAACTTAGTGACAAACGGCCAAATGAGGGGGAAAAGTTAAATAAGACTCCTAAGACTGTACACACGTGTCGACATGAACACACATGCTCAGTGGAAAAGATCAAGGCCTTCGAGACAGAAAAGGTCATAATGAAAGCAAAGCTGGACAGACAGAAAGGAAAAAGGGACAGAACAAAAAATAATAAATAGGCAACCAAAGGCGAGCTCCCATGCTGAATTAGTCAGAGGCGATGCAAGGTTAGCAGCACACTAGCAGACGCATGCGTCTCCAACTCACCTAAGCTGTTGTTTTCCTTTATGCTTTTCTCCTGCAGCTGTTCTAACCGGACTGGAAAACGACAACGAGAAGATTTTGACCAAAAAGAAAAACAAGAGCTCTATACCGACAGATGCTCCTCCTCAACCGGTTGCATCTATTTAGTTACCGTGTTATAGATGTGCACCGTTCTCAACCAAGAGTCCTGTACTGAAATACTGCATGATTGTGCATTTTACCTTGCAGGGCCGTTAGTCTCTCATTTGTGAAGTCGTTGTCCGCCTGCAGCGCTTCGATTCGAGCCTGAAGCGACTGTTCCTTCTCCTCCATCTCTTCAATCCTCAGCTGTAGCTCTTTCTTCTCATTCAGGCCTTTCTGAGTGAGCTCCTCATGTTTGCCCTCTGCCAACTAAACACAAAAGTTACGAATTTAACAGGTTTAGCCATTTAAAGGGATAGTTCACCCAAAAATGAAAACTCTGTCAGTAATTACTCTCCCTCATGTTGTTCAACCCCGTAAGACTTTCGTTCATCTTCGGAACACAAATTAAGATATTTTTGATTAAATCTGAGAGCTGGATCACTCCTCCATAGGCTTCTTAAGGGATCGAAACTGGCCGGCCCCAAAGGTTATGAAAGACATCGTTAAAATAGTCCGAGTGACTACAGCGGCTCAATCTTAAGTTTATCAAGCGACGAGAATACTTTCTGTGCGCAAAAAACAAACAAAAATAACGACTTTATTCAACTCTTCATTTCCTTCTCTGTACGGCCGTGATATTTCACGAAGTTAAACTACGCAAAGCTTCTAGATTGTACGTCACGCATCACACACATGACCAGCGTCAGCCAATAGGGAGCCTACGTGTGACGTGCAGCCTTGAAGCTTTGCGCAATATCACTACGTGAAATCTCACGGCCGTACAGAGAAGGAAATGAATAGTTGATTAAAGTCGTTATTTTTGTTTGTTTTTTTGCGCACAGAAAGTATTCTCGTCGCTTGATAAACTTAAGGTTGAGCCGCTGTAGTCACTCGGACTATTTTAACGATGTCTTTCATAACTTTTGGGCCGGCCAGTTTCGATCCCTTAAGAAGCCTATGGAGGAGTGATCCAGCTCTCAGATTTAATCAAAACTATCTTAATTTGTGTTCCGAAGATGAACGAAAGTCTTACGGGGTTGAACAACATGAGGGAGAGTAATTACTGACAGAGTTTTCATTTTGGGGTGAACTAACCCTTTAACAGGTTTAATGTGCGACAGAGGGTGGAGATAGACATGCCTTGATCTTTTCTGTGAGATCCTTGATTTCATTGACTGCTCCGTTGTATTTGTTGGCGAGTTCTCTGAGCTCTTCCTGTGTGTGTTCGTTCATCTCTCTCAGGTGCGTGCACTCGTCTTCTGTGTTACTCAAACTCCTCTGCAATACAAAAACACACAGCTGATGGAAACTTTATTTTGATAATCCACTTTAGACACACTTTGCAACTGCATGTCAACTAACTACTTTACAGTATAGACTGTTAAGGGCCGTATACACCGGGACGAATATCGGCTCGAGTTATTCGCCAGCGTTTCAATGCGTTTTTTGTGTTCACACTCAAGCGATTCTCGCTGCCGATGAGCCGAGTGAACGTGCAATTCCCTGACATTAGATGGCGCCCATTTGCTCTGCAACACCACTCCATAACAGTTCTCTTTTATCAAGATTTTTGTAGTCGCTGTCGCGTTTGTCATATAGTTCTTTATGTTCCGACACCAACGAGACCAGCAGCAGCTCTACATTCATCTTGCCTAGCATCTTCCTCGTCTTATTTCTTCCCGGCAGTGTAGACGCTACTGGGCGTATATCTTCTTCGCCGTTACGTATGTGTGCTCGGCAAGACCATTTTGTGTTTGAGCGCCCCCAAGTTGTGTTTTACTGTAACTTCAGAAGCTCCAGACACGTGAGCAAAAGCTCACGACGTTAGTCACGAGGCGTTAAACGTCGGCAAATATCGCGCGCGAAATTGGTGTGAACAGGCCCGGTGTGAACAGGCCTTTAGGTTAAGGTTAGTAGAATAAGTTGACATGTAGTTGCAACACTACTTATAGTCAGTAGAATGTCTGTTGATGGTAGGGGTGTGCGATATCACGATTTTTGATCGTGGATGATACAAATGTCTCCACAATCTGCTTTTCAAGAAATATCGTAGTATCGTGCTACAGTGAAACAGTTGGAGAACTTTACATTAGTTGGCTATTAACAAAATTTTTAAACATCCAATCCAGTATTAAGGCCAAAATAGCTCTTTCATTCTTGCATAATTAATAAATAATCCGAAACTGTAATTCTTGGCCGGATCGGGTATCGGTCAGACGAGGCCGATCCAAAACCGATATTGTGCGTTTACTATTATGTGTTATTGTTAAGCCCCACAAAAGGCACAAAAACATTATAAAGCACCATAACGTTTTCGTGCACTATATTATAAGTGTTCTGAAGCCATTCTATAGTATACTGTGAGATAGAAGTGAATATTTAAGTCATTAAATTCAAGATCACGTAAACTTTTCCCTCAGCTGCTGCTGTCAGTCATTCGCGTTCGGTCAATGTTACTATTATTTTACTTGATCTGTAGATAAAGGTCTATGATTTCGCATAAAATGACTTTATCTTGCTGGACTTTATTGCTGTACCTTAATCACTTTCTACTGGGTGTCTGTTATAAGCACTATAATTGTTCTTCATGCGCACAGTAACTGAAATTTAAAACTGTTAAAAGAAAAGGCTCAAACTATTACATAGTAGATAGATACTGTGTAATACACTACGCATCAATATGTCTTTCCTTTGTGCTTTGAACTTTTCAATCTGGACTTGAAGAGCTGCGCTTTGTGCCACACTTTATTGGAGTCTTTCATATCATAATACTTTTGCGCAATGAATTATTAATAGCCTTTCTTGTTCTGTCTTATCTATCATATGTTGCTGGCTCATTAAACAGCTGTGCTATACATTCAAAAAATGTCTTAATTTTTTTTATAGTAGGCTATATATAAAATAATTGATCTTTTTTATTTTTGTTATGAATGTATTTTACAACAATGCATAGATCAATGTGTAACGTTTTACCAGATTTAGTGCTACACTTATTGTCTCTTATTTGTTCCCCACTAAATGTTATTTTCACTAAATGTTCAGATTTTATACAATAATTGTGCACTCATGATTTTTCTAGACTAAATTTTACTGCTGAATTATCCACTAATCTAGTTTATAATAGCATTTTTGTCACAGATTATGATCATATATTTTTGGGATTTGTTGTTTTTCTTTATAATTAAGTTGTCTGTATTAAGTAGATTTAGTTTAACAGACAAAAGAGTGATTATCAGTTCAACACAAAGAGTTATAGAAATTCTTCTTAATTTTTTTTTTTGTTAAACTGCGCTGGTATCGGATCGGTTCTGAAAAAATGTTATCGGTGCATCCCTATCAATAATATATATATTTTTTTTTTTTACCTCCACCTCGGACAGTTTCCTGACCACCTCGATTTTCTCCTGAAGGACCCGCCTCAGGGACTCTTTGGCTGTCGTCTCGTAATTGTGTTTGTCCTCTGTTAAGGCTACCAGCTCCTTTCGGATACCGTCTTCTGTTTGGTTCTGAGGAGACAGCATGCAGTGACGCAACAGGAAATCTATGTCTGAGAGCACATTCAAATACTCAAAGCAGACACGGGCCTTACTTTTGAATATGCTTGCAACTGATTCCCCATCACCTCCAATCTAGAAAGTAACCGGTCTTCATCGATTAAAGCCTGTAAAGACCAATAAACAGACCTTGTTATCATATCATAAGTGTTACATATTCTTTCTGAGTGCTCCTAAACATGCCTTCAACAGTATTGAATAATTAATAATTGTCTCCTGTTTAATTGCGATGTGTGATGTACCTGCCAGCTGCTCTCTGATGCCTCCTGTGTGCTGGCCAGCAGCCTCTGCAGAGTGGCCAACTTCTGCTCCAGCATCTGCTCTCTGTGTAAGGCCTCCTGAAGGACACAAGCAGAACATCAACATTATCTGATCGCTAATATATATATATACACTTGGAGCTGGTAACCCAATGCACAGGACAATGGTGACACTACAACAAAAATATTCATGATTCTGAAGCTGAAAAAAACATTATTTTAGAAGAATATGCACTCTGTCACTGACTACATATATTTAAAATAATGTAAGCCACTTTTTACTGGTAACAAGACATTTGGCATTATCAGGACCCACAAATATTTCCCGATTGCATTATTATACAGTATATTCAACATTATATACACTACCGTTCAAAAGTTTGGGGTCAGTGAGAATTTTATTTTTATTTTTTGGAGGAAAGAAATCAATACTTTTATTTATCAAGGACAGTAAAGACATTTATAATGTTACAAAAGATTCTATTTCAAACAAATGCTGTTCTTTTGAACTTCCTATTCATCAAAGAATCCTAAAAAAAAAAAAAACTGTACAACTGACAGACCAACAACTGTTTCAACATTGATAATAATAATAAATGTTTCTTGAGCATCAAATCCTCATATTATACTGATTTGTGAAGGATCATTTGACACTGAAGACACTGACACTGGTGATGCTGAAAATTCAGCTTTGATCACAGGAATAAATTACACTTTACTATATATTCACACAGAAAACAGCTGATTTACACTGGAATAATATTTAATACTATAACTGATTTTTGTTGTATTTTTAATCAAATAAGCGCAGCCATGGATAGCAGAAGAGAATTCTTTTAAAAGTATTTAAAATCGTACCGACCCCAAACTTTTGAACGGTAGTGTATATAGTAGTTTAATGTAGTACTGACACTAAAACTCGTAATTTTAATAAGTTTTGAAAATTCGTAATTTTAAATAATTTTTTTAAATATTTTTGGAGAACTAAACAATATATATTGTCCCTATCCACGATACATAGTTGCATTTTTGTATTGCGATATACTGTGACACGATATATTGTTACACCCCTAATATATACATGTGTATATATGTATATATATATATATATATATATGTGTGTGTGTGTGTGTGTGTATGTGTGTATATATATATATATATATATATATATATATATATATATATATATATATATATATATATATATATATATATACACACATACACACACACACATAAATATATATACACACACACACACCACTGTTCAAAAGTTTGTTGGCAATAATTTATTAAAAAGAAATTAAGACTTATTTAGCAAGGACACATTCAATTAACTTTTACATTGTTACAAAAAATTCTAATAAATGCTGTTCCTTTGACCTTTCTATTAATCAAAAATCATTTCTATGAATCAACTAAATGTTTTGAACATCAGTGCAGTGTTTCCCCTACCATTGTTTTGGGGGGGGCGGGACCCCCCGCCCCCCCTAAAATGCTGACGAAATCCAGTCATAAAAAAGGAATTTAGTGTATAACGCGGAATTTCACGGAATTTGTATATTTGAGGAAAAAATAGAAAGCAGTTCAGTACACTTGAAATCAAATCGCGATGTAGACTAGTGTGTGTGAATATTAAAACACAAAGACTATTTAAATACGAATCCTGCATGTTCTGTGTGAATGAATGGTGCCGCCGAGGCACAGTTTCATTTACCATACACACACACACTGAAGCACGTGTGACGCTTGCGCTATTTTTTGGCCTATATGAAGACACAAATGCATGAACTTCCTCTCCAGGCTCTAGATCCACTCTGAAAGTCACTTCGTGATCATTTCACCGCTTAATTTGAGAAAAACTATCATTATGACAAACACACAGAAACTCAAAAGGTCTTCACGGCAACCCGTCAAAATAAAAGTTCGGTTTAACTTGACAGAAATTATATATTACTGTTGTACATTAGAATTTAGATATGTCCCAATGTAATAATACACTAACACTAATCCAAATAAATTATCATCAAAACTGAATTTAAGGAATAATCCATGTTTTAATTTTAACAGTATAGGCTAAAGCTCATTGTGCAGCAATTTCTATGACAAAAAGTTTATTTAATTTCATATGATTAAAATTGATGATAAATGATAAAATTTGTGTTTTATGTCTTCATTTTATTACCAGAAAAAAACACAACACAGAATTAGTGTGAATTTTTTTCCCATATATATATATATATAAAAAAAATGTTGTATAAGTTTATTGATTCATAATACATGATTTCAATTAATAAAAAATTTAAAATTACACCACGTATCCGTAACACGCCCGCTCCGCAACACTAGCAGTCCCCCCCACCCCCCTGAAACAAAATCGTAGGGGAAACACTGCAGTGATAATCAGAAATGTATCTTGAGCAGCATTTAGAATGATTTCTGAAGGATCATGTGCCCCTGAAGAGGGGAGTAATGATGCTGAATATTTAGCTTTGCATCACAGGAATAAATTATATTTTAAAATATATTCAAATAGAAAACAGCTATAATAAATTGTAAAAAATATTTCACAATACTACTATTTTGAATTAAATGCAACATGTATTTTATATAATAAATAAATATACATTATAATTTACTGTATTAATATATTACATTTCAAGGCCAGTACATAAAATGGACAAACATCTCATCTTTTCTCATCATTTTGATACGTAATGCCTGCAGATGGCCTGTAGAGGTCAGTGTTGTTCCATACCTGCAGGTACTGGGAGAGCTGAAACAGTTCCTGAGAATACATATTGGGTGTATTTGCGGACACCTGCATGACAGAAGGAAAAAAATAGATAAACTGTGTGCAGATTTTTTCTCTCTCACAACCTCAGGTCTGTGTACTTCAATGAAACACTAATCTATTGAGCATCTTTTCACATGTTGTCCTTGATGCATTTAACAGTACAGTCAAAAGCAGTTTTCAGTCTCACCAAAAGAGACTAAAATGACATCTTTTGAAAAGTTGAAACTTGGCAAATAACCTTGAATGAACCCAGTCGAGCTGAATAGGGGCCTTGTTCCTTATATTGTAACCACAATGTTCTAAATAGTGAAATTGTGACTCAAGATTTGCTACATTTATTGAATCCACATGATGAGACACTCCCAGAGCAGAGAGAAAGTCAGAAAGAGTATTTTTATATTGACAGCGTCAGATGCTGCCGTCAGATATAGAAGCGCTATATGCATCTGGGAATGGATGTGACATTGACAGGTCTGCATTCATGGGGGTTAGGGGGGGACGCCAGTCCATCTACACCATCTTCATTACAACAGATGGGGGCTCAGAGTGATGATGCAATGATTTACACATGCATGGTTCTGTCATCACAGATGCAGATGATGTCAAGCCCCATCAGTACACTGTTATCATTAGCTGATTGTTTTTCCTAATCCATCTGCCCGAGTTACAGTACAACCCCTGACTGAATTCGAAACACTCCCTAAAACATTCATTATTAGTTCACTTCATGGTTTTGACATTTAAAAACTGCTGTAGCGGAGTCAGAACTCAGAGGAGAACCATCGAACTCCTCCTTGCCTTGCAAAGCGTAAGAAAATTTGCTCAAAAAGTATGCATACACAAACGTTCAAATGTTTGGGATCAAATTTTTTGTTGTTTGACTGAAATTAATTATTTTATTCAGCAAGGACTCATCAAATTGCTAGTAAAAACATACAGAATGTTACAAAAGATTTCTATTTCAAATAGAATTCGTCAAAAGATCCTGAAAAAAATGATCAGTTAAAAAAAATATTAAGCACAACTATTTTTAACATTGATAATAATAAATGTTTCTTGTTCAAATCATCATATTAGAGTGCTTTCTGTAGGATCATGTGACATGAAGACTGGAGTAATGATGCTGAAAATTCAGCTTTCATCACAGGAATAAATTACATTTTACAATACATTCAAATAGAAAAAGTTATTTTAAACTAATAATATTTCACAATAATTACTCTATTTTTAATTTTGATTAAATAAATGCAGCCTTGGTGAGCAGATGAGAATTCTATCAAAAATATTTTTAACTTTTCAAACTTTTAAAAGGTATAGTGTACAACTAAAATTACACAATATAGTTATATGATGATTTGGGATGTAGTTTGACTCTAGCGTGGCTAGGATCTCATCAACATGCTATCAGTAATAGCATCTGATTCTAGATGCAACAAAGAGAAGAAGAGAACGACTTTATTAGATTTCTGTTTAAACACTAATGTGATTAAGCATGAGTATATATTTAAAACTCTTAAAGAAAGACACCTCTGTGCACTACTGGGAACGATCTGCCACACAACTATAATGTTCCCTGTTGAAGCTCCACAGAGGCATCCCACACGGAGGATGGCATGAGAGAAACGGCATTATCTAACTTCATCTGGACCACCTCCAGGATTGTTCACAAATACGCCGCATGGAAACCTCAGATAGCAGCACATAATGCTTGCTGATGTCAATTCAAGGCTTTAGCAACAGCAAGGACATGGAAATCAATGGCATTCATAACAAGCTGCTTTGAGGACAACACAGCAAAGCTGCATGCTGTTTGATATCCAAAAGACACAATTATAAAGAACATAATGATCTGGAAATCATTCATTCATGATCCAAGTTTAATCTGGACAAAAACAACCTTACATCCTGCATATGTAACGAAAGAAAACAGTCACGAGCGCTTACCTTATCAATAGCCAGTGGCAGTGGTGCTGGAACAACACTGGAAGAGAGAAAGAGAGATTGTTAATGGTTTATGGAGATATTGGGACGGATCTACTGACACTATGCATGAGGAAAGTTAGGTGCAAATATTTGCTAGCAGACTCACTCAACCAATTCAACTTTGCACTGTTAATCTTTTACAGTACAGCCTTTTTATAACTTGAAAATATTAGCACACCACATGAGATATACAGCCTAGGTTGTGTTTCATTTACCTTTTTGTGTTTTTGACTTGGTTTTAGCTTTTAACTCTCCCATCAAACCATATATAACATGTAACATTATGTAAGGTAATATCCAGTACTGTGATATTGCCAATAAAAGGAACAAGTCGACAACTCATTAAGACTATTAATCACAGACATGCTATTCATCAAAACATCAGATATCATTTAAATGATTCCAGCTATGTCACGCCACATCAGCCGTCCAGTTGGCAACGCTGAACTTAAACCCGGTTTCCCGTGCTTAAATGACGTAAATAGGCTGTGGGTTCAAAAGGTCAGCAGTGATACCGGTGGACTTTCTGCTTTAGAGAGCAAACGGGCAGAAACAGAATATGAAATTATCTCGGTCACTGAGACGTTGCGAAATGAGTCTAACTGAATGAAGTCAAGAGAAATGTCGAGAACCACATGACAATCCATGAACCCTGATCCAATCTATAAACCCTGATGAACTACTGAAAAATCTGCATAATGGCAAAACAATGGCAAAGATTTTCCAAAACATCAATCCAGGCTATTTATATGATGCAATCTTAAAGATAACAAAATAAACTTTTAACATGCATGTGTAATTGGACAAAAAATTGGGTCTCATTCATGAAACATTCGTAAATATACGAGTAAATATGAGAGTGATTTGCACGTAAAGAGACCTTCCCGAAAACTCATCTCCTGATTCACAAATACTTCGTAAACGCCAGATGTGAGAGTGAAATGTGTGTGTGTGTTAATGAATTCCAATCAGTCGTAAATGGGACGCGCGTGCGCGCTCATTCTCAATTACCATAAATCCCGCCCATTAAATCCGACTGACAACTATATATGGGCATCGTATTATGACATGAATGCGAATGAAAAAAAAATTCTCAGATGCAGAAATTGAAGTTTTATTATCAGAAGTTCATTCAAAACGCCACATTTTATTTTCAAGCATACATAGTGGCGTATCGGGTCCTAAAAAAAGGAAGCTTGGCAGCATATTACAGATGCAGTTACTGGAGTTTCATCTGTTAATCGAACAGTCCCAGAAGTGAGAAGAAAATGGTTCGACATTAAGCTTGAGAGCAAAAAAACAAATTAGTTCACTTCGGAAAAATAGTATTCAAACTGGAGAAGGACCACCATCGCAGATGCTATTACCGGCTCTCATAATAAGAAAAACCGTATGTAATTACTATATATAATATTTTTTCAAAATGCTGTGCAAATATGTAGCTACCCGATTAAGGTGAATTAAAATGCAGCCTTAGTTATTAATGAGCAAAACGTTCGGGTGTTAAGCTCACTATTTACGCATGGCTGTGAGCAGGTGTAGATTTCTTGTGTACCAACTAACATTTGGAAAATACGAACATTTTAATGAATCCGAAAATTTACGCCAGAACCACTTTACACACGATTTACACAAAAATTCGTTCTGCTCGTGTTTCATGAATGAGATCCATTGTGTGTACACATTTTTGTCCAAAAAAAAAAAAACCACTCTTTACAATTTTACTAATTTCCATGAGTTTTCCAAGCATGTAATTTCTCCTAATATTGCCAGGTTTTGCATGACTATGGGAATAAAGTGGGAAAAGATGAGTCCTTTTGGAGGAACAAACCCTTTACCAACTTCCTGTTGGAACAGGAAATACGTCAACAGAGGAAAGCAAATTGCACTCATGAATACAGTACAAGTCATTTAAAAACATATTCAGCCTTGTTCAAAAACACATTATTGTTTTTTAGTACATTAATTATTAAATGACCAGCCTTAAACCTGTAATCCAGGTGGGTGAATTATAAAACATGTAGAGCGAGACGAGCAGAGATAGTTCAGGCCCCAACACGCCCATATAAAAATGTCCTGCTAGATGTGATTCACATTTCAAGCATTTTTTCCCATATGAACTGCGTCATTCCTTCAAAAGCCTGCCGATCCCTCTTTCTGGAAAAGTCTTGTTACCTGAAGTGTAGGAAAAGCAGACTTTATAGTGAGATATCCATCAGCAGAGCAGATGTCTGGCAGTCCAATGTCTGTGGTCTTGATATTTTTCTTTCAGACGCTTTGCAGAAGAACATGCTGTCATGCTCTCTTTAGCAGCTTGATAACATGGCTGGATCCTCGTCGCTTGTGCAAAATCAAAACAGCGCAGTTGTGTCCGCTCCACACAGTTCAACACCATCCACGCCTCTCCCACAGGCAGCGGTTCAAAGTTCAAGAGCTTGTCATGTGATAATTCCAGACTCTTCTGAAATAAAACACACCAAAGTCCCTCAGAGCTCCACACCGATCTGAAGTGCTTTCAATTTCCATGCGCAGTGAAACTCAGGCGGGACAATAGTAGCAGAACCTGATCCCCTGGCCGTCTGCCCCTATGGCATCTGCTCAGCAACTCATGCAAAGAAACAAAGCCGACGGGTTGGAGAGCATTCCAGGAGACATGGGGGAAGATCGCACTCGTGGGATGTTCATAACTAAACAGAGTTACGCAATGGTGATCCACAAACATCCTTATAGCAGTGGCACATCACGTTACACAAACAAAGGTTATGTTTGGAACAGCATACAACCATACTACACCATATAGTGCCGTATATATATAGTATGTATACTGTGAACAATATGCAAATTTTCTAGGGATGCACCAATAAGAAAACTTAGCATGATCTTTATAATTGAAAAGCAGATAATTGTAAGCCTTAATCCAAATTTTTATATTTTTGAGAGCCTGATCACCATTAAAAGCCATGTCTCAAGCACTTCAACATAAATCAAACATATACAGTACTGTAGCGATCAAGTTTTAAAATTAATTGGGCTATATAAAGAATCAAAATGCATGTGCCATGGATAAATAAATTGGAATAGCCTATTCAAGTACAATGTAATTATTTGAATTAAACTATATTGTTGATGAATATTATATTACAAAAATAAAAAATAAAAGTGCAAGTTATAATCAATAATGCATCACAGTTTTTGAAAAAGAAACATCTAAAATGAATATTACGGTTTCAAATAACAGCACTGCTGAAGCTGAAGAGCCGAATGAACACCGGGAAACTGAAGTTAGCGGGTTAATTAACTCAACAAAACACATCCTATATGAGATTAATCAGATATTTATACAACATAAACATAATATTACAACTTGTATCTGCACAAAATAACACAAATGAACTACGTGCTGGTCAGAATATGTAATCTATACCAATATGGTGGCCGATATATCATGCATCCTTAATTTTCTGTATGCTACTTTTTGTCTTTAGTATAAAATTGAGTGAAAATACAAAAATAACCATAATTTATATTATATCTAGATGCAATTTGCTACATTTAAATTGCATAAAATTGATGCACTTGCATAATACTCAAGTGGTGACAATGTAATATGTGTATATAATTTATATATACACATATTTTGTGTGTATATACACAGTTACACACACACACACACACATACAGAAACAAAGCTAGACACTTGCTATAAAATATGGATGCAAAAAGAAAAATTCAAAAAGCCAAGGCAAATTGAGCTATTTCTGATTCTTGAATCTGAAGTTTATAACGTTCATAATAGCAACATCTCCCACTAAAGCAGTGTGAAGCTTCAGGCACAGTGTCTTATGAGTGTGTGTTTATGTAATCCAGAGATGAGTCACAGTAACTCTCCGGTTCCAAGCCTGCAGCCACACACACGCCATTGTTTGAGATTTTTGTTTCAATATGGCAGTCATGGGCTCACTGATAATTCATGAAGACTTGCCGATATCAACAGATCCACAGAAAACACTCTGAATTTGATTGAGAAGTATTTTGTTTTTATCCTCCAGGACTGAAGATTAAAACAAGTGTCATTTCAATTATTGGCAAGAGCAGACTGACGTGCAAAATTTCCAACCACAATTTGTTCTTTACATTCCATTTAATGAAACGAATTAGAAACTAGTAATCCTTATGCGTAGCACCACATATCTAGCTCATGGAGAAATTGAAATGTAATTGAAATAATGAATATTAGGGCTGTCAAACGATTATTCACGATTAATCGCATCCAAAATAAAAGTTTGTATTTACATAATATATGTGTGTGTACTGTGTATAATTATTTTGTATATAAATGCACACACGTATATATTTAAGAAAAATATGTTATTTATATATAAAATGTTTATATTTATATAAAATATACATTATATATAGGCTACATCCTATATATATGCAAATATTTCTTAAATACACATGCATGTTTGGGTATTTATGTATTAAAAATAATTATACAGTACACACACATATATTATGTAAACACAAACTTTTATTTTGGATGCGATTCATCGCGATTAATAGTTTTATCTAATAAATATACATTTAGTCTATAATCCACTCCATCAGCTATTGATCAACCAAATCAGTCATACACACACACGGTTTTAAGTGAACTGCACTTTTATGAATGTCAACAACCACCAATTGGAATATATTTGATGTGTATTATCCAGCATCGAAAAGCAGGAGTTTGGGGCGATGAGATTAATACAGAAATAGAAACCAAGCGATCAACAAATGAAAATAATGTGGCTGGTTGGGACAAAAGGAGGTAGGATTCACCACTGGCTCATTAATAATGATTTAGCATAATAATATAGGCTAGCTTTTAGGGCTGGGTATCGATTCAGATGTTCAAATTCGATTCGATTTACAAGCTCGATTCGATTTCGATTCTCGATTTGATTTCGATTCTCGATTCGACTATAATGAATATAGATGTAATACAAATCTCAG